TTTTACTCACCTGAGTAAAACATTTTTCATTTTCCCTGTAGTATCATAATGCGGCATTTGACTGGTCGGTACTGGAGCTATGAAAACATAGCAGGTAATACTGACCTACCGTTATACGCACGTTAAATTGGATAGACAAAAAAAGCCTCATCGCCAGTACGGAAGTCCGACGGAGAGTAATTTACTTTGCACGCAGAGGGAATGATTTGAAAGAAGTTGCAAACTACCTCGGCATTAAGATCAAAACATCTCATACTATTGCAGCCACGGATTGGGAAATGGCCCTCAAGCCTGTGATCTTAGAAAATCAACGACGAGTCTACAAAACACTTGTGTAATGTTGTCGATGAGAACACTACAACCACAGATATACTTAAAAGGAAGAAATGGGAGTAGGATTTCCGATACAGCTATAGGTAAGATTTCAATTGATCGATTGCTGGATGAGCGTCACTATTCGGTCAAGAAGCTGACCATCCAGCCTGTGGATTGGAACTTGAAAATCGTCAAATTGAAACGAGCGGTAAATGGCGATTGGTTACAGCAATCGGGTGTTGTGAGTCTAAGGCTGTCTTTTGAAGAGACTAACTACAACATATGGCTTTTGCAGCTATGGAAGCACCAAAGTGGACTGTAAAGCCGTTCAAGGCCTCCAATCTTGCAACTAATCCTTTTTGAACATATTAGAATGTTCATCTGTCACCGGTATCTTGAATTATGAATATTAACAATATTTGGCACAGTTCCAAAGAGTTTCTATCAAGTTAGACTACACTAATCGCTACTGAGTAACCAGGTGTTCCAGTTGTTTTTACCTTTGCCAATACGCCAGTTCNTCAGTCCCTTTTTTAAATCACTAGAAAAAGTGTTCAGTAAATTCAAACATGTAGGGGTTTTTAATTCCTTTATACGCATATTATTGAACACACTAAAACTGGATCACCGAAAACTTTGAAGCTATCTGAGAAATATCAAATGGTTTGACGTTACGGGAGCATCGTTTAGACGTTCTCCAATCAGTATGTGACACGGTTTTGATACCATTACGACGGTCAACTGAGCAGCATACGATGGTCGCACCTCATTTCTTAATCAAGCTTTGCAGAATCACCTTTCGTTGACCTCAGAACATTCCGATGCTTTTGGATCTGACTCACCTACAGCGATATCACCGAATTTTGTTCGTCAAGGCTAAGGGACTGCGGGTTTTGGCTAAAGCTTGATAGAAAAAAGTATAGTAATCCATACTCGGTGGTCATAGAATCCTACGAATTTCCGAGAATAAGCGTTCACAGTCAGTCAGAGGAGGGCATGTGTACGAATCGAGCCACCACCTCCTAGCATTCCCCATTTTTTCTTTGTGTTCTATGGCAGCTTTTTAACGAGCCGTTTCCCTTGTCCTAAAATTATCCTTTTTACATATTCAATGAAAGGAAGTAAACCAAAAGGTAAAGTAACTTTAGGGCATCAGGCATCAAAGACATGAATCGAGCTGTTAGGAGTACACAGCTGATTCGTACAATTCAAGAATGTAAATGATTATAACTGGTTCCCTGATTCACATTGAAGAGATCCGTGAAAAAAACTGAGGAGATGACATCCCTTTAAACACTCTGCTCTACATGGTAATTAAACTTGGAGTGTCATCTGACCGAATAGATTGGTTCTAGGTTAGCTCTGAAATGAACCGGAAAGCAAACAGAGAAAGATAACAACTCACGAACCCATGACGTCAGTCACAAACACAATCTGTCATAGTATTGACTAATTCAATCTTCATCTACTAAATACCGCAACTCCGGATCATCAAAAACTCTAAACTTTCAGCTCAGTTCAACCAAAATATTTATTATCGATGCTTATTCACTTTTGCGAAACCTAAAGTGATTTCCAGCTTGTCGTGAATTTCGTTGGATCTTCTGTTCGTGCATTAGCGAGTCAACCACTGCCTAATGGTGCCATCTATATCTAGTGACAGTGTCAAATGAGCACAACGTCTATATCAACGATGACTCGAATATCTATCCAGCTTAGATCAAGAAGATAGCATGCCTTGCTTGAATTCCAGTTTGCGCTGACCATGATCCCGATCAAAAGTGAAGAGACCTACTATAAATCGCCACTGAGTTATAGTTTAACCGTGAATGGCGAAATAGTGTTGAGGAAAATATGTATTGGCCATCCATAGCAAAGAGCTGTATGTCTTATCCTCATCCCTAAGCTTACTCCCAAAGAGCGACCAGTCACTTTGTGCTAACACTGTGTTCCGGTCTCGACTGATTTCACCTCTGAACTCCCCCATCCCCAAGAGCGGATTTTATCTTCGAGTGAACACGACCATCGGATCATATGAATCCACTTTGACAGAGAATGCCTCTAGATCATGTGCCAGTGATAGCTTGTGAGACTTCCTGTTATGATAATTACCCAATTCTGCACCTGGATAAAGCCTCTGTGAACATCGTAAGGTATTTAAATGCTTCATTGAAGGCCCTGAGAAACATTCAACTAACGGTGTCAGTGGATATTCAGCATTTCTGTGGACCGTGTAAGTTGCTATGCGCACTAGGTTGTTTGCAACCCCTGCTCTTGTGGCTAATGGTTATACACTATTAAGGTTTAGTGTCATCCGTGGAAAAACTGCTTGGTCTGCTTAGTGCATTCCCCGTTACTTTCACCTGATGATATTCTGACTGAATATCACTCGTAAATGAAGATAGAATTGTCAGTGAAAAACGACATGTCTGAACTTTGATGACAGATTGAACGCTACTAATTTAAGCAGCGTTAGATTTTTCGTCCAGGGTGGTGCAGGAATTCCAAGTTATTGGAGATAAAGAGATCAACATGGAAATAATTTGGGACCAAAGAACTTTAACCGAACTGAAAGTAGCTGCCTAGAATTGAATAAAAGGCACCCAAAGTGCCATTGATGAACACAAGATGGTTCAGTGAGAAAAGATTCAAGTGAGTAACTCTATTCGAACGTCAGCATGCACTGGAGTCGGGCGTGTAAAGACTCTATTCCAACCAATAACCCATCCGGTGTAATAGAAAATATAAAACAGACCTCAGAGCAAACCACGCTAGATGCTAGATGCAATGGGCAATAAATTGGTTTCGGATGAACTGCATTAATACTGGAAGTATTTATTCTTTTAGTCTCACGTCAGCCACGATTAACCTCAACTGCCTTACAGGAATCACCCAGAAAATGAGTTGATACTGACAACTAGATTTCGTATTTTACCAATTTTTGGTTCTTTATTTTATGCCCTTTACAGGCGATCGAACAAACCCTGTTCCCTGAAGGAGAGAAGCACTGTGTGCCTTTTTCTCGGAGTAGTGATGCTGAAACCTTATACACAACTTACCCCAGCTTTATGGTAATATACGTACAAATATATTATACAATGTTTGAGGCGCATCATTTAGAGCCGCTTATAGATTCATGGCAAAATTTTATGAGTTGAACCAAGAACAATCCGCTTTCCGGCTAACCATAAATGATTCAATCATTCCTTGGGATTGAATCAACCGATGTAGCATGGCAATTTCAATAGAATAAAATCTAAGATTGTTTATGTCAATCTTCATGATAGCTATAGAATTTGATTAGTGATGATCGAAACCATCGTTGAGCAGCTGTTTCATCCACAACAGAACCGGTCATCAGTGTGCACTACTTTTCTGTATCCCTAAAGAACCTCGAGCTTGGACAATTGTAGTTCTCGGAGGAAACAAAAGGCATCACCTAGTACAGAATCATCATACCATATTGCTTGTGAAGCAAGAAAATATTCCAGTGACGTTATTAGAATCTCAGGCTATTGATCCTTGGCTCCTGTACGCTGCTAGTTTCCACTTCCGACCCGAGCTTCTACGGCTCCAATCCTGTAAGGGACATAGAGGAGGGGAAAAAGCGACCAGTGCTCTCTGTTCATCACTACGCACTATCAGTTCAACAGAAGAAATATGCGGATGATTTCTCATGGAGAGTAACTTACACACGTCAAGATGAGTACACCTATTCTGGTGTACTATGTGGAGGTGTATGGTGCAGAACAGCAATATGTAAAACCGGAGCCGTTATTACGATCTGAAATAAAACGAGTCATTACTATTATTATGATTTATTCGTGTCCGGCGACTCGATTGACTGATTAATTCAGCTGAACCCGATTGCTGCTTTTTTGTTCTCTCTCTCGTTCTTGCTCTCGTGCTCTCTCTCTCTCGCGCGCGCGCTAGCACAGCGATTCATAAGCGGACCGGAATGAGCCACATTTAGTTTCTATGTTCACGTGCCGTCGGACACACGGAAAAACCACCCTGTTGACAATTTTTGAGCGAATGACCATCCCGATGGGTGATGTCATGTCCACAGATGATGTGCATGCATGCGTGCGAATGCATGTGTGCTCGCGCGCTCGCCAACCAGTTTGATTGATATCCAGTCTCCGCACTCACTAAATCATGGATGGCGACAGCTCGATGTGATGAACATTTTCACTTGAGCGTGCCACGTGTGGCACTTTTGGCGATTATCACATACGGAACGTGACCTAATGCTTATCAGGAGAATGACAGAAGAATACCAATTTGAGGTTTTCACAGATACCTACACCAGCGATTCAAATTTGCATCCCCCACCCTTTGCACCACCCAGATTAGAACACCCTGCTCCTTTCGTAATCAATATCCATTTTCATACCGTCGAATTAAAATAGGTTTGAACAAAATGCAACTCAGTAACTGCTCGACAAGCCTTCTTCACCACATCCACCCTCGAAAAAATAACATTTTTTCAACTCACCAAAGGCCATGGTCACCACTCACCAGCCACTTGTTCTCTCCACCACTGTCTGTCGACATGAATAATGTTAGTTATACCCATGGCTAGAGACTAACATATTCAAGTTCAGTCAGCTAATTTTTACACTAAGATCACCAGTTTCTCGGTATAAATACTCTAGCCTGTTGCACGAACCGCTTCTGCTCGCATGATGGATCTCTTCGTGGCCCTTGGTGTCACTGATGGTGATGGTTTGGTCGATCCGGTCCCAACAAAAGTATCCTCCGATTTGAAAGTCCTGAGTGAGTTCTGTTGACTGCCACCCTCCCTTCCTTCCGGCTGCTCCTCACGAAAGAAATTGATTACTGTTTTGTAGCTGTTGTATATTATTCCTGTTGATTCGAAAATATTTCAGTCCGTCCGTTCTATAAAGCTATCGCAATCTGTTTTCGCATTCATACTGGTTAATACCGAATGGCAGGTTTGAAAATGTGGGTCGCAGGAACTAAGTCTAACAACGTTTTAATCGTTTAAAGTAGGCAGGATGATAAAGCCTCTTACTGAATCGATTCTCTTACATTATGGTTAAACCTGGCTGGTATTGAAAATCATCTATAGTCCATTAAAACTAACGGTGCACTTTATTGCAACATGTTAAAGTTTTAACGGAAGAACCTCTGATCTCGAATGCTGCTGCTGCTTATGATGATGATGAGGAGGAGGATGTCGACGATGATTTCGTCGGATACCTTGGGCTTTATTGCCAAAAAATTATTCATACCCGATTGACAAAGCTTCGTAGTGTCATCCCAAACAGTAATGATCTATTCATGCTTGTAATGCGTTAATGAAATGCCGGTTAACTACCCTTCTGCTCCCCTCTTTTTTACATTCACAAAAATTGCATCTGATCTCTTTCTTTTACCAGTAAATCACAACTGAACGAGTGAGATTTGAGGTTTTATTGTGCTTGCTATGTTACTGGGATGTGTGCTCTGATTTTCACTTGGATGGCGTTTCCGTTCGGCTGGGGACATAACTAATTTCTTTGCTTCTTTCATCACCACCCTGTGGAACCTTTGTCTCTCAATTAACGTGGCTCTCTCATTTCTTTCTCATCGTTGTGTGTGCGTGTGCTTTGCACTTCAGCAGTAGGACAACTGTTACGGGGAAATCATTTCCCTTGGCACTAAATCACACACGTGGTCCCTCTTACGATGCTGTTCCTGTTGATTATAATGATTCTTTACCTAAAACATCCTAAACCAAAAATCCTATCCGCGTCCAAATTAGGATGAAATCACTCTGCTATCTCCTACTGTCTCTCTCTCTCTCTGTCTATGTTCCATAACACTCATATTCACAAGATGAATGACTTTCTTAAACCTTTAGATGAATAGAAGCGAAGACTTTGAAACACGCAGCGATTTTCCAGCCATCTTTGAATACGTAATGGTTTCCAAGTTCAACAAAACGGGTTGCTATAAGTTGAATTTTTCTAATTGGCTTTCTACTTTTAAAGCTCAATATGTGCTTCTAACGTGCATTAGTAAATCCGTAATACAATGTACAGTGCTTTGAATGCTCAATGCAAACTATTTTCTTTAATGACCTGTCCCTTTCCCCGCCACAAACTTGGCACATGAAGAGTTCTTGAACTTGAATTAAGATATTTGAATCATAGCTAACAGTATTCAAATCGATAGGAAGACTTGTGAATCACAAACAAAAATGAATTGACAGCATCCAGTCCAAATCACATGTTTGTTTTTTTTTCAATATAGACTTTGGTCCGTCCATTAGTTTATTGTTCCTTAGAAAACATACATACATACATACATACATCGGTGTGAGGAAAATGTAACGTGTGCAACATATATCCTACAACTCGCCAGCGAAAATTGTTTCGATGAAAATTAAGTCTAATTCAGCTGTTTTTTTGAGTATATATACCCAAAGTCTGCATTAAAGATCTGATTAAGTGTTTGGTTTTGTACTGAACTAATCTCAGAGTGAAATGCCAACCCTTCACTGCTGTCGAGCGCAATGAACTAACCATCATTGAAGATGCTACCTAAACAGACTTGAAATAACACTTTTATTCAATCTCTGTATGAGCTCGTTGAGAGAATGGCAACAAACACGGCTTCCAGGCGATGGGTACGATAGGCATTGACAATGAGCTATTAAGGTTGCAAGCTCTGATATATTACTTCCATACTTGGTTGAATGATTTGATTATTCATTCTCAAACCAACATATTAACATGGGTTAAGTTTTCATTTTCAAATCACCATCACGTTTGAGTAGTAGTGTGGGATGAATGTTTTCTCTTATAATCGATCATTCGTCAGACTCCATCTTTAAGCGTAGTTCTCAGGTCATCCGGCCAGTAAAACACTCGGGAAGCAGTTGTATCGAGTTTCTCTCTCTCAAAGGATTGTGGATGTGTGATACTGATGAGCTCCAATGAGAGTTCAGTGCCTTGCAATTTTTGTGATGGACTGAATAAAAATAAGATTGTGCATAAAGATGGAGTGTGAATTTTAATCATTCCGAAATGGACGATTCATAATGTTATCGCTTTTCTCACCACTTGGATGTACACTTAGTGCTGTGATAAGAAAATCGGGAAATGTACAATCCCTCCTCTAAACCTCGTCACTCGAGTTATCGTTTCATTCAGTTGCGTTCATGTTGCCAGCGTGTTCCTGCCAGGATATTATCGCCTAGAATACGAAATTTACGATGTTATTGACAAGCAATCTCTACGTCATGTGATTCAAATTACTAGTTTCTTATTTAGCACTGATTCATTAGGATTTATTAGCTTTGTATAACCTTTAATGCAAGCTTGTGATTCATAGCCAGTTTAAAGCAGAGAACTGGCAAGTTGTACAATGCCATACTCGAACATTCTCCAATTTTACACTTACTCGGATAGACTTACTTGAGATGTGTATATGTGCACTGACCGCCGTGTATCCTAACTTGTCACTACTAACATCATCGGACATTCAGAAGCCAAAACTTCACCAAGATTTCAAATGTGTGAAACTAGATGACCGTTTTGAGATAGTTGGGTTTTACACTCAGTGCTGAATTCATATATGATCTATGTATGTAAGAAGAATTCGCAACCATTGGGTTGGCCACTTGCCTCATTTCACAGATTGTACACGGCACTGAGTTGCGGTTAGTTTTCAGTGCCTGCATTCCAAACCGCCCAAGGTCATCGGTCGGATAATCTTCATAGTCATCACACTTCTGAGCTTGTATTAACTTTTCAAAATACACAAACTGAATCAGATTGTATGTCGATTGTGAAACGTTCAGTAGCCTCGGTGGGATTCGAACCCACGCATGGACACCGCCTACGCTTTGTACGCGCATGCTCTACCAGATGAGCTACGAGGCTACTGAACTTTTCACAATCGACATACAAACTTCAAATCTACCAAACAACTATATGAATCAGATTGGTTGGTCAGTTAGTACCGATATTTCCCGATGAATTATCGATCGTATTTGAACATGCATTACCATGTGTTTGGGGACAGTTCCTAATTAGTTCACGGCAAGGCCTAACAGGTAATGGTTTAGTGTATGAGTCTTCTAACAGATATGCAGTTTGCTTGACTGACGTTTTAGTGCATAAAAAGTCGCGATGTACAATAAATGGATAAACGCAGAAAGTACCGTAGAGTGGGGATGGAGAAGCCTTCATCCAATGCACAGATAGTTGATTCTGTGGTTTTAATCCATGGGAAAACTTCGACAAACGAGTGTTCGCTCAATTCTATCGTTCTTGAAAAAATAAATCAGGATTCGACCGCCACCGTTGTACAGTTTTCAGATTCATCCGTGAAGGATGACTATTGCTTTGTGGCCTGGTCCGGCAAACTAGTGAAATCGAAGGAGCAACCAAATTAGAAAGGTTCACAGACTCACATGCGTACTACTGATAAGATGAAAGAGACCAGAATGTGGTTATCAAGTGATTGAAGAGCGTATTTTAGGGACAGATGGGTAGTAAAAAGGCGACTGTCTGCACGTTGAACACGTCTCCAAAGTCCCAGAGAAGAAGATAAAGTTCCGTAGTTGGAGATGCTTAAGCCTTTTAAGGAGTGTAAAAGAGAGAAGGGGTGAAAAACCGTTTTTTGGGGAAAAGATAAGAGATATTCCTGGGCAAACATGATGCAATGTGAGGAGGTCAAGATATGGAATAGTAAACGTGAAGGTCAGGTGGAACTACAGGAAATGTGGAACGCAATCAATGTGATTCAAAAGGTAAACTGGTAGAAGATGGAATAGCTTGAAGAGATACGGAAATACCGGAGGTTTTAATAGCGCCAAAAACCTTCCCATCTTCATTACTCCCCAAGCAATGATTGCAAACAGATATGAGTTGATTGAAGCACTAACACACAATGGACGGTGAGTGTTGAGGATGAGGGAAGCACGGAAAGTGTGATTTGAAAGAACACAGCACGGATTAGCACACCTGGAAAAATTAGTAGAAATGCAGAATTTGGGTTTCAGGTTATGAATGAAGCGAAAGTAGAAAACGGTGGATAGCATGAACCCTTGCAGCACGTTGGAGTTAACTGGGATCGCTCCAGAAATGACTACACCAACACAAGCTGAGAGTGAAGTGTCCCGAAGTATGCTTCGTATTCCATTGACAAAATATGAGGAGAGTCTAAAATCGGGAAGTTTGGTCAGGGGTTCGTCGTTGAAACGTTCACGGCGTTCCAAGTAACAGCGAAATCATTTTACAATCATTATTTTCACGACTATAAAGGGGAATGAAGTGAGAGCGAATGAGACGAAACGGTAGTTCTTATAATCACAGGATGGAACTCGCTTTTGGATTAAAAAAATGTAAACAGCTTTTCAACATCTAGAAAACAAACCGTATCGAACAATGAAAAATAAAAAAGAGAGAGAGCTTTGGCGCATGGTAGTAGTAATAGTGATATATAAAGGTAAGGTAAAATTTGAAGCCCAAAAGGAGTCGAATACCTTAAGTTTTGAAAACGGTTGCCAAGAAAATCGCCAGGTGTGTGGCTAACTTGGGGAAATCACGTAAAGCAAAATTAACGAGAAACGGCCTTGTCAAGGGACTGGAACGAGAACTCATCTGGAGAAAAGTCAACACCTTCCTTCTCTCTTGGTTCACTAAGAGTAAATTTGTTCTTGGGTTTCTGGGTAAATGATGAGCCTTGATTTTTGACGAGCTGTCAGAAGCGAGTAAGAAGGGTAGTTCGGAGACAAGTGACAACTTTGGAATTATTTTATTTTTTTCACTGACCGCACCGCAACAAGCTTTTAAAAACCATTTAGAGGGATGCTGCTTTTTAGGCTTAGAATAGTGGGGAACAAACTGGCACAGGATACATCCATTATGGACAGCAGCAACGCGTATCTATCTATCTTCTTGTGTGCATTTTTATGACATACGTAGTATGTGAACGATCGAAAAGTTTACCATGAAGTACAGGACCGATATGGCTGTTTAGTCTGCTTATGGTGTATTGGTACCCACTACTCTCTCATCGAATGATACTCATAATCTCCGGTCGTGTACTTCTGACGCATGATCCTAATGTGCACCTCCAAACCTACTTTTTCTACATGCTGTTCCTATGCTATCGATCTGCGAATGGTTGCTATGATTCTCCGTTATCTTTCAAAAATATATCGAGTCAATTTGGAGGGGGTTAGTGCTTTCAGACAGAAAAATAACATTGAATCAGGGCAATTATTCTAAAATAGATAGCATAATAGAAGCATACCGCAGAATTGATTCCCGACGTGTATATTATAGATAGATAGATTCCCATTTTTACTAAGATTAGGTATTGAACATAAAAACAGCTTATCTCCGATGGCAATAACGCTTGAACATGCGTTTTCGCGTACCACTGCTCTTGTCACAACGGTTGAGATCACTCGGCACTCTGTATCCCATAAAGATCATCAAAGTGTGAAAACTTAGTCAACCGAATTTGAAGTCATACAACCGCCATCTTTCGATTGAAGCAAATTCTTAGTATCTAAAGTCGAGTTTTAACTGTCAAAACGTGCAACGTTTGGTTTGTCTTCGGTTGGTGCTCTGCCATCCCGATTAGCTTTCCAACACGTGTTCAATGAATCATTTATCTGCCATGACTGCTTCACTCACAGTGCAAATGAATATCGCTATAGTCCGACACAGTGAGTGAGCACGAAGACCAATATAATCGCTAAGCCCTTGTACTTCGGTTGTAATATAATAACTAAATCGGTCGTGCACTGCTATAAAGAATATCCACATATTTTCCAGGGGCTAAATTCTTAATTATAAGAGGTAATTCGCATCAACGAAAATAAGGTATGGCTGATTTTGATTGATTTGTAGTGTTTCTAAAAGAAAACCAATCAAACGGGGCCGAACATGTCGAAATTTCGTGGGTGGTGTTAATACGCCATATTATTCTTCGAATAAACAAAGGTTTTGAATGAATGCCATCCTTAAAGGAAACCTAAAGCATTATTTTTCTCGCCAATGAATTTCAATAATTAATGGTTCTCAACTTTTTCACTTAATAATTTAAATTTACTTCCAATTCCAACGAAATTCGGATAAAACTAATGTTCGCATTTAATTCAAAGATACTGGTGAGTAGTGGTGTGGGATAATTGTTATTGATTGATTTGAATTGATCAGCCTTCGGACTTCACCTTCACGCACAATCCTCAGTTTTTCGTGTGTATGATTAAATGGATGAATTGAGAAGAAGGTGAAGTTCGAAGTATAGTCAGTTCCAATCAGTCAATAAAACTAATGATCAAAGATTGACTCCTATTTTATTGATCGCTGGTTTTGAGCTTACCTGACCGAGTTGGAACGCATACGTAGGATACAAATTGTATAAAAAGTGTTCACTTTTTATGTAAAATTTGGTAATTCCGAAAAGCTTCAAAGTCTGAAGAGACCAATCGTGTTACATCACTTGATAAAAGAAGAAATATAACTGTCGGTTTCACACGTGTATTTCTCCAAATAATACCAACCAACTAGGCCAACAGGCGCAAGATGATTGCACGCTCATGGAACAACAAGAACAACACCAACAACAGCCCCATACAACAGTCACTCTTATTCGAGCAGAAATCCAGAATATCGATGCGGACGAGTTAACTGTGTCATGCTGTGACACAGTACACAATGTGAACAGTTTGAAACAATCCCCGTGCACTTCTGCACCGGGAATGCGACGGAAACGTAGACAAGATTGGTGTCGATGGCCCATCTGTGGACAGTTTCGGGCTACAGGATATTGTGCCTCTGCAGTCCCGGGCGGACCAGATTATCCCGGTTGTATGCGAGCACATGTGGGTCCAAACGACAGTGTACCAGTCACGCCGGAAGGAGACGTACGCGTGTGTTTCGATTCAATGGGACTGATGGATGTAAGTGTGAAGTTTATTCTATCCTCGTTTAAATATTGACCGAACCGTTCCTTAGCTTTCGAAATTTGCTCTTGTCAAATAACGTTTTGGTTAATCAACTTGGAATCAAGGTGAACGCAGTTTTTGCGGATCCTAAGATGACGACACTCGATGGGAGGTTTATCCTTTTGTTGGTTGAGTATCTTTCCATCCTTGAACTACTATTTCGAATTTTTACCGGTGTTGATGCCTAACAGGCGAAAGAGAAGCAGGAAGATTGAAGATTATGTTTATGAAATTTTTTTATTCTTCATATTTTTGTTCATCGCCCGTACACCGAAGAAAAGAACGACAACAACGAAAATCAGGAATCGTATTATCATTGAACTACGGAACAAATATATTACCGTTTTACTACTTAGGAGTAGGCGAGCGACATAAGGAAACAATAATGAAAATCATAGAATGTGCTTTCTGATTGCTCATTGATAAAAAGCATTTTGTAATCCTTCAGGCTGAAATTTTGCGTATATGAAAGTGAATATATGCAACCGCATCACAATGGAACAGCATCGTTATGCAGATAGTAAATGTTTTACTGGTTTATTTTCTAGCTCAAATGCACCCGACCGGACTGTCACTTCTATCATCCACCAAAGCCAATACGCGATCAAATAGTCGCAAAGCGTCACGCTCAATATCTTCGAGAGAAGGTATTCAAAACCGGTTCAGATATCCCCCTGTCAGGCAGATGCCCGTCACCAACCGCGTCTAGACACGATGCAACCACCAATGAGGTGTCAATCGACCCACACTGGCCTATCGACCCCATGCAAAATCATCATCCACACACCGGACCCCCACTCTTCAGGTCTTACCCACAAACCACTGTCTCATCAAACTTGAACGATTCGTTGAACTCACTCATATCTGCTTATCTGAATGAGTCGATCTCTAATGCAACCATATACCCCAATGTAACATCTGGCCTATTGACACAAAACTCTCAGTGCATGCTTCCAAGTCGACAACCGGTCGATCTTGGCGGCTTTAATTCCTACAACATTGCTTCCACCAGGTGTGCTAATCAGGCTGCTTTGACACTACTCACAGGGGCACACACGACGGTTGACACAAATGCCCAACTTTCTTCTACACGGTCAGAGGTGGGGCAGGATTGGACCAAGCAGTTTGACTCAACCTGGGTTCAGTTACTGAGTAAATTTCAACCACTGCCGATTAACGGTCTTGGATCCCCGCCAGCACTCTCATCGTTGTTCAACTCGGGGCTGAACATTCCTATTCCTTATAAATCATCGTCGATTCCGGTGAGTTTTTATCTCCTACCAAAGAATTATTCTGTTTTGTGTGTAACATTTTGTCACCCATCGCTTGAAATTCGTTCAACCTTCGGAAAGAAATTTACTTTATTGACAATAACAAGTTGTTGGAAATTGCAACAACAATTAAATTGGTTTGCAATAGTATCTCAAGTGCAAGAGAGAGCTTAGTAGTCATTGGTCACTGGTGATTAGTATTCATTGTGAGCAACAATGAAAAATGACAGCGCACAATATGCCGCGAAGAGTTTGCTGAAAACCGCTGGGGATCTATTTTGGCCTTCTGCTACCACCCTGAGTTGCTATCATCATAGGGAGTGATCTTTTTTGTGATACTTGTGTTTACCTTTTCAATCACTTAAAGAACTCCATCATCGCTTGAGAATTAGACCAAACTGATATTTTATATTTTGAGCATTTGTTGAATCGTGATTTGGAGTTTTGTTTACAAACGTTAACAGGATAATCTGTAAAATAAAACCTTGCATAAAATAAAATCGTACGAAACGAAATTGAAATAAATTATCTTTTTAATCAGGAAGGAAAACTAGTGTAATATTGGAACCAAATGAAGAACGGAGGTATTAGAACAACGCTATTTGGCGCGGGGAGGGGGTGTTGATAATCATGCGATGTTGTCAAGAGCAGTGGTAATAAACCCATCGGTCGACCACCGCAGACGACTGCTCTCACGACAAGTTTTCACTTGAATTATGTTCCTATGCAGGATAAATTTTCATTTCCATTAAATGTCACAAGTTAATGTTGGAATAGGTTTTGACCAAGAACTATGTAAAAGTGATAAGACATTGATAATCAAAACTGGTACAGTCATTGTTCGTGTATTTCCAGACCTTTGACGACATTTTAGGCGTTACGCTTCAGATTGTTTTACGTTATAAACTTTGAATAGATGCAACCATGCCCTCTTCCGTTGGAGAATCCATTGTGGACCAACCCGATGAATCTGATTCCGGGATCCAACTACTTCAATCAGATGAACCATCAACTAATTACCGGAACCCACGTTCCTTTGGGTCGCAGTTGTGCTGGCACTGGTTTAATTCCCGCATCGCTGGCCGCCACATTTCCCTTCCCCACGCCGCTGACACATCTTTCCATGAATCGGTTGTTGACCGGCGGTGATCCATTGGCTTATGGCCAGGCCAGTCCAATGCCATTGTTCCCTCTCGCGGGCGCATTCCCAGTCCCGGTGACCGGATTGATGGATTTACCGGTGGCCGCCCCGATTACAAATACACAAGACAACAGTCCGCAGACTGTGATTCCTCGTACATGCGTTTGAGCTCAGGTGATCAACACAGTCGCGACCGTTCCCTACTCAAAAACTGTGATTGTGATATTCGACTCTTATTTCTTTGTCTGAAATTATCGTTTTATGTGTAAGATTGAATCCGTAATAGATGTTATTGTTTTATTTTTATATTTTCACATTCTCAGGCGAATAGTGGCATAATTCTTACCACCGCTATCGACTTTGGTGGGATTTTAGAAGTTCTGGACGGCGCGAGCGGAGGGAGGAGGTTTAGTGATCCATCACCGGTTGTAAACTGTTAGCTAAATTAGCAAAGGAAAACTTGGATAAGGTCACATCAGGTCAGATTTTAGTGACGCGATGGTTGATGATATTCGTCAGAACCTGTCACTAATGTTTACTCACGTCCGTTTTGAATATTCGTCCCAAATGGAAACAGAACCAGAGATTGCGTTTATTGAAAGCAATATATTCTGAGATCTTCAGAAAGGTTGGAAAGCAGATTTAGCTAGGCCTAGGCTGATATTTAAGCAACGGCAGCGGAAACCTGAAAGTAGATCTGATCAGTGCAACGAAAGCGTGCGATACAGAGCTCACCGTGGGGAATTGTGTCGGTGCACGCTTTTCGAGTTCATTAAAAGAACGTTAATAGTTGAAGTAAAACTTAATCCTGGAAATGTCCAAATTGCTTTATCCAATAGAGGAACTTTCCTCAGAGTATAGCTATCGCCAACTAATGGCGATGACTGCTAAATCTCGACGGTACACTTGATTGTGTCCGGTGGATAAGGGTCCTTAAAGGAAGAAGGGAAAAACCTGACGG